TTTTCTTTCAGCAGACTAGGTTATTTCAGATTTTGGTAGCAAATGTATTCTGCTTCAGTACTGTTTTTATTTAATTTTAAGTGATTCTTATAATGTACTAGACTGAAATCTTAATATAGGCTGTTATTTAAAATTTAATTTTGAAATAAAAATAATGATTTAAAATAAAAATGCTGATTATAAAAAAAATCAAATTTTACTTTTAAAAGAAAATGCATTTTGAATGCAACCTCCTTGATGTCAGCCTATGTGAGCAGTAGTGCAGTGTTTTCCAGACTCTTGGTTCTGAATAGCTGGTGATCCATGGACTGGTTGTTGGGGGTCTGCTAAGAACTAGTTGCCCACATTTTTCACTTCTTTCTGTTTGTTGTAATTAAATATTAAAGATGCTTAAAAACGCATACAATAGTGTCATATTACCTTCTTTGTAACTGAATGTTGTATTTGCCTCAGATGTATCATGCATTCATTAAGAGGAGGTAATTTGGTCAGGATAGTTACTGTAATTGGAAGAGGGTGGTAGTCTTAACTATCTGCATGCTGAAGAAATTTGCAGATTTATGAAATAGTGTTCTGTAATCTTTATACAGTGTTCATTGTAGGCATGGCAGGAAAAATGTATAGAATCACTTAGGATGAGCATAAATGTGTATACTGGTACTTTAATGTTTAACTTTATGATTTAATAAAACAAGACTCCTGATAATAAATGAAATACAAATGATGTTATATTTGCTTATGTCTCTGACTTTACATCCTGTTGCATATGTCTGTAAAAAGTAATATTAGATTGATGACCTCCTCCATCTCCTACCCCACTTAGCTGTTTCCACTTGTGAAGTATAGTGGAAATGGCATATAATGATATGGAAGCACTATACTTGGCAGTAGTCAGATGAATATAGGTGTCAGCTGCATCCTGGTCACAGTTACTATTAATTATGATAAAAGCTTGTTTCAGCTGCAGGCTGGTACATCTGTATATGTTGATTTTTAAATGCTCTTATTCTGTTATTCCTCTTAATGCCATGGGCATGCTTTTAGAATTTAAAATCTAAATTTAGGTGAGAACTGAGCAGCAGCTGGAGGAAAGGACTTGTAAAACAATTTGGCTACATCATGATTGAAGGGTTATATTTTCATTGAACAGGGATGCCAAAAAATCATTTTAATGTCTGCATTGTTGTTGAACACGACACATACAGTCAGACTAAGGGAAAAAGTAAATTAAACAAAACAGAATACAGGATGATTAACAAATTTTCTTTGAGCAGGTGTTAATTGGTACTTTTTCTTTCAGCAAATCTTCCAGTACCAACTATTGCTGCACTAGATGGGATTGCATTAGGTGGTGGCCTAGAACTGGCTTTAGCCTGTGACATAAGAGTGGCAGGTAAGGCTGAATCCTATTAAAGTGAGCACAAGATTATTAACATTACAGTAGCCTTGACTAATCCTTGCCTTGATTTTATATTCAGACATTCCTTATGCTCAATTATTTCTTTGTGATTTAGCAGAAACTTGAGTGAAATAATAATTGCTGATGTTTAATTTCATACCATTTACTATTGATAGCATGGGTGCTTTTGTTGCCTGTTTTAATTTATTCTTACAATCTTCACTTTATCACTAGCAGTGATCCCAGAAGGGTAGGGCAGAGACTGAGAAAATTTTCGTAATTAAAATTGTCGTCATCAAAATTTGAAGTTTTTTATTTTCCATATTGGTTGCTATACAAACAGGTTGCAGGAAATAGGCCAAACTTGTTTGTGAATGTATTATGAAACAAGCAATTAAGCTGTTATAAAACAAAAGCGACAGCAGCACATGAAGAGGGGAACCTTGACCTATCCAGCTGTCAGAACTGTAAAAGCATTTGTTGGAAAGTAAATGGAAACTCAGTCTTGAGCAGTTGCCAGTAACTCAGAAAATATTAAGTTGTTTGACCCTGAGAGAATATTCAGTCAGCCAAAGAAGTCATAATCATCAGAGACAGACTTTATATCCCCATTTCAAGTTGTTAAATAATCTTTGCCTCTTTCTTTTTAATTATTCCAATTCTGCAAATAATTGTTTGCATTATTGGGTCTAATAACTTACGTGCATGTGCAATCTTCCTGTGTGAAAATTAATGCAGTACAGAACTTGTTGTGACAATAATAGCTAGGTCTTTTAAGTGTAGATCAATTTGGTCCGTTTCTTTTTTCATAGGCAAATGTCTTTAAGTGATTATTTGTTTGAAAGTTGTATTTAATAAATTACCAGGCTCTTAATCACTTTTCATTGTATACACTTCTTAAAATTAATATAGTATCAAGAACTGATTATATTTTATGCTCTCTTGTAGCTTCTTCTGCTAAAATGGGTCTTGTTGAAACAAAGTTAGCAATCATTCCAGGTGCAGGTATGAATTTGTTTCTTATACACTACTGTAGATGAGCCAGCCACTAACAAGTACCTTGGTGTCTATAATATTGCCTTATTGTTTAGTTTTCTAGTAACTTTATTTTTTTCATTTAAGATTATTAATGTGGTTTTAAAGAGTACTTCATGTTCAAAATTAGAGAAAAGTGCTCCTGATTTCTTAAAGGAAACAATTTAATATGTTATGTTTTTAATGGGTACCTACCTTAAGTCAGCCAATACTGAGCGGGTTTGTAATTGGGGATTCATCTCTCCTCTGAAAGCTGGCTGCATTTGTGTAGGGGTGTGGTAGAAACACATACGTTTTAACTATTAGTATAACAAAAATGGTAATTTAATTAATGATCCAATACTGTGCTATCTGTTTTGACACTTCTTTAACCTTTTTTGATGCTTGTCAGTTGGTTGTGCGAAGTTACTAAAGACTGAAACTGTGATGTATGTATGACTTTTTTTTGCACTCAACATTTTTGGTTCACTTCAGTTGTATAAAGGTAGCTATTTTCCTTTAACACATTTTCCACTGAGATGGATTCTTGGTTGACCCTATTCAGGATTCAGGCTGGATAGAAGGAATAAAAGTTTATTAATAATGATGTTTGAGACCTATTTTAAGGTCACATTTTTTAGATAATCACTGAACCAGTAATCTAATACTGGGGAAAGAGCAATATTTTGAGCAAATTGCCTAGTTGTTATTTAGCTAATGTTGCTGGAAGCGCTGGGAGAAGTTTGTGCCATGTCTTTGGACCATTTTTCTTTCTGGCTGGTGAATTGCTAGGTCCATTGCTAATGGAGAAATTCAGTATCTGTGTTAAAGATACTGGGGGGCTTCTGTTCTTTAGAAAGCTTTGGTGCAACCCTTGGACAAGAAGCAGTCATTTGAAATTGACTGTCCAGACTATTGTCTGGTTTTGTATTTTCTGTTATTGGTTATGATTGTTATGGAAGTGGTGATGAAACTCCTAACAGTATCTTCAATAGGATCTCCAAAATCCCTCACAGCTTGAGTTCATACCTTTGGCTTAAGTATGGCACCAAAATCTTTTGTTTGTTGGACTTCTCTTACCAGTGAATAGGTGTGCTGTAATTCTTGTTTTTAGATTTGTCATTTTCCACAGTGCTGGTAAACAGGAAGTATTTCTGCTGTGTCAGTGGGCTTCAGTGTGGAAACAGAGATATGTTTGCTCTTTTGGGGAGATTCCATGGGACATTATTGGGGGATTGTTTTTCTGGGTCCAAAATTTACCAAGTAAAGCAGTGTCTTTCAGATGAGATATGTTGGGCTGATAATTCCACCTATTGTTAAAGTTGCCCAACACTTCCTATCATAAGAGTCTGTTATTTTCAGTTCCTTATAATTTGACCAAACTCTTACTTATTTTGGCTGAATTTTACATGCCAGATCTCTACTTTAGACAATTTTTTTTCTAATGCTTCAGCCATAGTTCTTCAGCTTTTTCTAAAATAGAAGCTAATGAGTGTCTCAGGGTTCAGGTTAGCCTAGCTCCCTCCAGGCTGAAATCAGCCCTTGAACCCTTTAAAAAACACTCCCTTAATGTGGTCCCAGCAGCAGAGTCAGTCTCTGGGCCCAGTGGGAAGCAATACAGGCTTTGATGCCCTGGGTTCTTCTGCTCCATGGGGCTCAGCTGAAAGCATAAACAATCCAAAATAAACATGTCTTAAAATCAGTCCCAGTAACAGTCTTTCTCTGGGCCCTGCAAAACAAGCTTTAAATCCCTGGGTTAACCTGCACCATAGAGCTCAACAGAAAATGTAAAACAATCCAGAATGAACACCCACAGGCTTGGGTTAGATCTCTTCCTGGAACCTTTCTTCTGCCTTGGAGGAATCCTCGCTATCCACTAGACCATTACTGTCTCCAGGTCCTCCTTCCCTCACTTCCTCTTTCTGCCTCTTTACTTCTGGTCAGCCAGGCAACTTCCCTTTATTATTGGCTGATTGACTGAGCCAGCTGAGGCCCCTTAAGGGGGTGGTTTGTTAACTGCTGGCTAATTGATCCAGGCTGTTATAAAGAGGAATGCATTGTTTGTTTTTAATACATTTGTATTAATGTATCACATGCTTCTATATTTGAAACTGCAGCTGAAGTCTGTGCAACTCTTCTGTGAATGTGTGAAGTACAGTGTGATGCTTAAATACTCTGTTGTCTCATGTCTCAAATTGGATACCCAGAATTAGTGGAACTTTATTAGGGGTACAACAATAGAGATTTTTTGGGCCGATACCAATGGCCGATTTTTTAATTGCTGTCCCTTCATCGAATTGATGTAAGATAAATTAGCTAATACTTGTAATGCACTCAGATACCAGAGTGGTGAGTACTGTACAGGAAAAACAATGAATGAATTAATAGTTCTGCCTCTGGGTATTTAGAATTGCAAAATTGTGATTAATAAGGACAAAATCTATGGTTCAGGTTCTGCATGGCACTTCATATGCTTTGTTTTCTCAAAAGCAAGGATCCAGGCCTATTCTCTAGACAAAGATCTTTTTCTAACCCGGAAAATATTGATGTTTGACAAATCCTGTAGTAAATTATTATATAAAATCATTAGAATAAGCTGCCTTTTTCATGAAACCTTTCTTATGTCTGAGATTACTAAGAAAATGCAAATTAGTTACCAGAACGCTCATCCATAAATTTTGACTATTTATAAAGTGTTTGGCTCCTACAAATGTTATCAGCTAGAAAATGACTAGAACCAGGTTAACCTCAAATCATCATACACTTGTCAGTTGTACTGAGTTTATGTGGGCCACTGCATATCAGAGCAGATGATCTTCCCAGAAGCGTCACAGTATCTGCAAATGAGCTCAGAGTCATACGAAATCCCCATAAAATGTTTTCAACACTTCTAAAACAAACTCTGTGTTAACATGAAGTGACAACTGTACAGCCATTGGATGCATTTGTTCCCTTGTGCCTAAGGGAAGTGAAATATCTAGCTGGACAAGAAGACTCATCTTCAGAAGAATGCAAAACGAACCAAAATATTTTCTACTGGTAATCTTCAAAAGAAAATATCAAGAGAGTGGCCTCTTTCCTTCTTCCATTAACAATAAGCTGGATCTTCTGAAAAAGAAGACAAGTAGGGTAGACACATTCTTCACTGAGTGGCAGGACTCTTTATTAGGCTGGATGGTCATTTATACTACTCTGGCAGCTGTTCCATTCTTTTCATGGAAAGAAGATGTGAATAGACATGAAAATTAGTGAATCTGTGTGGATCTTCATTATCTCCTAAATTATTCTTTTTTCACTTTAAAGACCAGAAGGGAGATCTGTATTAATGGAATTGATGTAAAATCAGGGGAGTGGGGGGAACAACATCATTTTTTTTCAGCTGAGAAAGACATCAGGGGAATTTCTAGAAGTGACAAACTCATGTAAAATGTGGCCACACTAACAACAGGAATTTAAAATCCATCCAAGTGTAAAATGATAGAAAGGATGTCACACTTCAAGCCTGAAACTTGACCCACATTATAATGTGGTGGTAAAGTAGCCCTTAGAATTAAATACTGAAGCTTCAAGAAAAACAGAAAATTAACATAGGAATCACCATTTTTTGCAATGGCTGGGAAGAGGGGAGAGCAAGTCCTTATAATATCAAAAGCAGTTAAAATTGTTCCCCATGTGTGAAATAATTGTATTTCATACTGGCAAAATGTAACCGCATTACCTTCAAAACCGTTAGAAATACAGAAATTTCTTGTCTACTTACCTCTTCTGGTCTCTTCCTTTGGTTTATGACTCTATCCCATTTCGGCTCCACTAGTCTCATTGGTGGCTCACTGATATTCTCGCTCATTTTTCTTTTGAACTTCTCACCCCTTTGGTTTATTTCTCCGTGTAGTACAAGCATGCATGTGTCTCCCATGCTAACTAAATCCATTTCCTACCTTCTTTGCCCAGTCCCATTCCCCTTTCATCTCTTAACCCCACAGCAGTGAAAGGATTGATTTGAAATAAGTTGTTTACAATGATAAAGTCTATTCTTATGAAATACTATATTAATACTGGGAAAACTGAAGGCAAGGGCCTGTCTACATATGCAGGTAAAGGTGCAGTGGGATCTAATGTGCGATCCATACAACTGTACTTCCTTCCATGCCACATGGAGAGAACGCTGCTCCTGCCATGAGCCTCTAAAGGTGTGAGGCTTGTAGCGGTGGCAGCGTTCCCCCAGCATTCTCAGGAACCTCAAAAGGGGGGAGCCTTGTTCTTCCCATCACCATTGCTGTGAGCCCTGCAGTGACACTGGCTGTGGGGCTCACAGCAAGGACAGGATTCCATCATGCTGCCCCCGCTGCAAAACTTGCACCTGATGGGCACATCCAGATGAGTGGACACGTGCCAATTGTGGCATCTCAAAGCAGTTTGAGATGCTGCAAGAAGCATGCTGAGAACGAAAAAATATTCCAAGTATCAAAAAAGACCTGCGGAAAAAAAGTGGGGCAAGGCACAGTCCAGGACCATGCCCTGAGGCAATCCGGAGGTAGGTCCTCTAGAGAGACGCTTTGGTATCCAGCTTTGGTTTCTGTTGTGCTTCTGTTGCCCCAGCATGTGCCCTTAGTTTGCAGGGCAAATGGAAGCAGGGCAAGGCTGCAGCATGACCGGGCCCTGGGCGCTGTCCAGGTAAGCAAGGACTGGGGGTTGGAGGGCTGTGTGGTTTCCGGTCGGGTTTGTGGGTAGAGGGGGTGTGGGGAGTGGTGGAGATGTGGGGTTTGTGGGCGGCTTTAAAGGGGGGCTGCCACATGCCCCCACACCCACCCCCTGTGGCACACAACTCCCAGTACTAGCAACAGTAGCCAGCTGTGCTGTGCATGCTGCAGCACTGCCTGCCCAGCAGTCCGTGCAGAGAGAACGGGCCCGGCCCAACCCGACCTGGCCTGGTGCACAGCACACTAGTTTGAAGTGTTTCCCACTTACATTAATAAAAATTTGCCACGGCA